CAGTCCTGGCCCGTCCGGCGTCCGGCCCCACGCCACAGCTCCTCAGAGCACGATCACGAACAACCGTCCGCATCAGCGTCCCGACTCAAAGTCCACGAACACGCGTACCGCGTCATCCCAGTCCCCGACACCCAAGTCCAGATCCCCCGACACCCGATCCCAGACCGCGTTGCGCCGACCCGGTAACCAGACCCGTCGCTGACTCGAAAACATTAGAACCTCGTCCCCGACCCGAATACCCGTACGTCCGTACACGTTCAGCAAACACCGTACCCAGACCTCGTACCTGTCCCGTCCCGCTACTCGTAACCGCGAACCCCGTCCCCGATCCGTTCACACGATCCCGTCCGACCCTCCCGACCCGTCCCGACCGCCGTCCCGATACCGTCCCTCAAACCTAGGACCGTCCCGACCCGTTCCTCGACGCCGCTCTCCGACCGTCGACCCGTCCGCCCGCTCTCGACACGACGTCCCGACCCGTCCCGACCTCGTGCCCCGACGACCGTCAAGTACCCGTCCAGCAACCGTCCGCGACCCGTCCGCGGAACCCCGCGTCCGACGCCGTCCTCGACCCGTCGCGACCCGTCCGTTCACCCGTCCGACGTCGTCGACCCGTCCGACCGTCCGACCCGTCCCGACCGTCCCCCGATACCGTTCCCGACGCGTCCCGAGCACTCACGTCCTCGACACCGTCCCGACCGTCCCGACTCCAGTACCCAGAACGTCCCGACACACGTCCCGACCGACGTCCGACCGCGATCCACGAACTCGTCCTCGGACGACAGTCGCCGAAACACCGTCCCGACGAAAACAGTCCTCGAACTACGTCCCGAACCGTCGCGACCGCGTCCCGACGCGTCCGACCCGTCCGCGACCCGTCCGACCGTCCCGACCCGTACCTCGACCCGTCTCGACCCCGTCCCGACCGCGTCCCGACCGATCCACGTCGCTGGACCGCGTCCCGTATCCCGTCCCGACCACGTCACTCACCTCGTTCTCGACCCGGTCTCGACCTCAGCAGCTCCGGCGCCCGCCCGCGCCTGCTCAGGCGCCGCTCCGCCCCGCCGCGTCCCGACCGCGCTCGGACCGCGCTCCAACCAGCCCAGCCCCTTTACCTCGGGGCCATGGCGCCTCTCCAAGTCTCTACGCAGTGTCGAAGCCAGGGTCATGGGGGTCAAGATGGCCAAAAGCAACCTTGTACTTGTAATTGTTCAAACCTTTTTTTCGATTTATTCAAAACAGTTAATTCAGATGTGTTGCATCTTATCCAAAGCAATTTCCCATTCCGAGTAAACTTTTTTAAACTTTAAATTCACAATTAAAATATATATTCCTGAAAAAATATTCATAGAAGAGGGCTCCAACTGAAATTACACCCTGGCTTTGGGGAGGGATAGACAACCTATTCTGGGTCGGAGATAGTTATTTTCCATCTCTCACCACCGATATGCGAATAGTACCCACTCCTTGAGAAATTTGTGGTGGACAAAAAGAGTTGGCTCGCGTTTTGATGAGATTTCGCGGTTTCGTCTACCTCGCATTTTGTCATTGGCTTATCATATGTCCTATTACCATATTTATCATCCATGTAAGGGTTTGGACTTGAAGATGTGGAAATGAGAAAGTTATAAAAAAACCTATTTCAGTACATCGTAGTACCAGAGGCAGTGTTGTGCGGTTTTAAAAAAATGGGGTCGTTAAAATTTGCAGGAAAGAAAAATCGGGACGTAACTAAAAAAATGTATTTATAAAAATATTAGTAGTGCCATAGCGATCTCGGACCGAAGGATTGCGGGTTCGAGTCTCTCCTCGGGCATGGTTGTATTGTGTTCGTCCTTTCACACCCCTATCATCACCATATCGTGTCATTCTCATAGTTACCAAACCGTTACAGGCAATAGTGGTTGCTAATGGCCTAGTAGTTGATGCGACCTTAAATAACAAAAAAAAAGTTTTATCGGTCAAAAATGAAATAATTACTTACGACTGTATGGGAGGATCTTAAAATTTAGATTAATTCTTTTTCATCCTTACTCTCAGTGAATGAGAGTTTGACTACATTACCAGAACGGTACCACTCTAGTCCGTAGGTATTTACCCTTAATAACTTATAATATAATAAAATATGGCTTTCATTAAAGAAACACTACTAACCAACAGAAGGTTGACAAAACTATACTGTTACTAGCATACTCTGACATGCTCGTACTCACACTCACACATACACTCGCATTTACACTCATGTCCTCGCTCTTAAACACTCATTCATACTTATACACACTGACCGCAAACACACTCACACGCGCGCGCATTTGCATACACTCACACACGCACGCAGACGCGCACCCACATAGACAATTCAACTCGAAAAATATCCTGAACAAAATAATCTGCTACATGCAGAATGGCGACCGAAACGTCGGCACCTTCGCCATGGACGCGGCGTCACCCGGACAGCCTAGTAAATACTGACTCCGATCGCGGAAGCCTACGCTCTCGATAGGGCAAGTTTTGTTTTTTTCAAATCCAAACACGCATTTTGTAATGTAATGGTAGCAAAACAAGAACCTCTTCACCGCCAGTCAAAGAAAAAGGGTATTTTCAGATAGTACAGGAAGGTTTATGGATTTGTTACAATTTTTTTTCTAGTTTTAACGGAAGACAAATAAGTGACCAACAGAATGCAACCCGCGTTACTCTGTAAAATAGGTAGTTGTAACCAATATGTAGCCCTTATTCCTCTGATGCAGATACGGTGCCGCAGGCCCTGTTTTATTTTAACAACTCTTGTAAATTACTATAGTATATCTTGTGAAACTGTTCTAGAAAACTGATGAAATATTTACATGTCTTGCTTGTCTACTTTTGTTAAGACTCTTTCTCTACCTCTGTAAGTTCTATACATTTTTCAAGTCATTACCTAATTATTTAGAAAAATATTAACGATTTCATTAAACTTTCGTGCTGTTTAGAAACAGGACCTTTGCGATTCCATACGGGTGTCGCAAGTGAAGAGACTTTGAAAGAGCGTGTTTGAAAGAATTCATTTACTTTCTTACAGCGTTTAACTACGATAAGTATGAATATGAAATTCTTTGTATTGACGGTATTTGAAATAAAGGGATAACATGCTCATCCGATAAATCCGCAGTCAGTTATTAAGTTTCTGTAAGCACCTTTAGTTAATTTTCTTAAAAGGTAGGTATTGTAAATTGATGCGACGTCCTGATGAATAATCAAGCTTCTTCTAACTGGATTGTTGTAATAATGATAGAACAAGAATACTGATACAGCTGCAAAGATAGCCATAAGTATATCCTTATTGTTCTATGCCACTTCCTTTGTTTTATTAGAAACTATAAATTGTTTATATATTGATTAGTAATGGCATTTACAATAGTAATTATAAAACTGGTAGATAAAGAATAATTACATCAATTTTATTGGTTGTACCAATAATTAAATTTTATATATTGTCAGTAAAACCAATCGATTAACTTTATGTGCTATAAGAGAAATTATTGCTAATAATGTCAGTGTTGTGCGAGAATATAGTGAATGAGACTAGAAAAATGGATGATGTTGGCTTACATTATCTTTTCGGGGCCTCTTCTGTGCTTCTCAGCCAAGTTCCGTACGTCTCAGTTAACTCTGCTGTCTCGAACCCGCGCCTGTTCGCGCACTTCTCCCGCGTCCGACCCAACGCGAGCTAGCCTCGCCCGCCACGCGCTTAGGCAGCTCAGCCGCCCGGGCCGCGTCGGCCCGGCTCTTCGAACTGCAACAGGTCACGTTTCTGTCTGCGGAATCGTGTTCCTTGGCTCTCTAAAGTCGTGGCGTTCAACCTGTCGGATTGGCGTTTGCTCGACCTCGAGGTTAACCCACGGGCGAGTGCATGGAGTCTCGCAGGTCCTCTTCTGAAGAGGGTGAACGACAAGATAGATGTAGTAACGCTTTCGTTTCTCGTGGTACCTCCGAGCGTTATGTTGACGGTGTTAATTTATTTCTTACTTAACGCCAGCGTCATCTAAATTTGGACCACTCACTTCTCCAAAATTTCAAAATGTCTTCTATCCCAACCATAGGCAATAATCAAGTACTATTCTTTCCATCATGTACTTTAATTTTTGCATTGAATTGCTTAGAAAGGCGTCTTATTACTGCTCTGATGGTTAGATATAGCTCGTTGGGGGAAACGCAGCAATATATAAGTCCGATATTTCTATCCGTGATGCGTACAACATGCACTACACTTACGCAACTAGTGGCCATAACATTTAACGCGCCTGAAAACACGAAATAATCAATCCATCTAACAGTTAATTATTTTGAATTACGAATGTAATATTTTGAAATCTTGATTTCATAACGTTCTAATGATGCACTACATATAATATTAGTAAGAGAAAGTACATGGCCTAACGCAGATGTATAATAGCACCTGAAGTCAATCGTTAGTTTCAAGGCAAATGTGCTTATTAGCCTTGAATCGATGACAGCTCATCCTTGTCGCTTCTCCGATGTCGACTCAACATTTTTTCCCTGAGATGTCTCAGTGACCAATCTCTCGCGGTTTACCCCTTCCGGGCATTTCAAGGTCGGCTCCGGGAACGCTGGAGGCAAGAGAATCCGTTCCTAGAAGCAGCTTGTTCGCAAAAAAAAAGTTTCTTGAATGTAGAATGTTATAAATATATTTAATAAAATTCAGTGTAATTACGTATGTCTTCTTTGTAATTGTGTATTATTATTGTTATTATTATTATTAATGTTATCATTATTAGCGTTATTATTATTATTGTTATTATTATTATTGTTATTATTATTAATGTTATTATTATTATTATTATTATTATTATTATTATTATGTGCAGTGCAATGTGGTGAAGTGTGGTGAAGTGGAGTTCTATGGAAGATTGCACGGTGAAATGTTCATGTGATTTTGATAAGTTTGTAGAGTTTGTATAGTTGTTAAGTTCTGTAATGTTAAGTTAGTGTATTCTGCCACCAAGTTCTCACACTTAATTGCAGAATTATTAATAAATCTAATCTAAAAATGACCGCTCTCGACTCCACGTGGCCCTCGTTGCGTCGCTCGACCGCGTCCCGCCCAAGGAGGAATGCGCGTGGATGGTCACGCTTCGCGACAGCCAGGGCAATAAGCGTGACTAATGAAAATATTGAGATGATTGTATTAATTATAACGGACGAATAGTTACGTTGGGCTGGTCCCAAGAGCCATGGAATAATCAATTCTCTTACAGCAATCAAGATACCGAATACAAAATGCTCCCAAGATATTTCATTGATTTACATACATTATACATGCAGATTCTCGAGGAAATGAACGGTGGAACTCGGCATGCAGCCAAACACCTTGCCGCGACTTTCTCAACGGAAGTGTTCTGCATCCCTAATGGTTTTCAGGGTTGAAGATATTTTTCTCGAACAGATATTATATCAGATAACTGACTGAATGCGAAGAAATAGGGATTTCTACCTACGTTTTCGTTTGAAGTCATGATCAAAACAGGGTCCCAGTTTTCAAGTTTTTAGAGACGATTATTTTATGTAGTATTTATTTGAGTGTAGAGTCTAAAACTACTTCGTATACAGGTACAATAGTGATGATAGTAATAATGCAGCCAAATAGTGGAAATAAAGGCAGGAAAAACAGGAGAAATCTGGCCGAGAGCTCGTTTTACTATAAATCCCATGTGCCTTGGCCGGGAAACTAAAACAGACTCCAACGATGGAAGGCACATATTCTAGCACCACCACAACCGCCCTTGGGTTTATATAGACGTGAAAATGTAAATTACTAATTATGTTTCGTGTAGTTGCAATAGTTTTTACAAAATTATTTCGTTGGTTAAAAATTGTAAGGGAAGAAGAGGATTCACAACATTCTCTAATCCTACGCAGTTTAAATCGGCAAGTTGTTAGTACAAGAGTAAAAAAATTGTAATGACATTGCACCAACTACTGAAAGAAGAATGGAATTGAGTTCATGGGAAGGAACAAATGAAAATCCAAAAAAGGAACGAAAAGACATTGGAAATAATAGTGCATTGTGCGACGGTCATAATTTTTTTTGCAGTATTTGAGTTAAACAGCATTTTTTACATTTAAATTATATTATTTATGATGAATGAAGAATTTCTTTCTTATTGTGGGACTTTTCATTGCTTTTTACTGAGTTAACTAAAATAAACGGAGTACATACGGAGTATTTTAAGTCGCAAATAATTATATTTGTACCTAAACCCCAGTTTTTACCGTCCCTGAAATGAGAAAAGTGGCATACTTATTCATATTCGTAGCATACAAAGTAATGTTGCAAAATTTGATGCCACATTATTAAGAGTATTGTCGGTCCGTTTGTCCGCCTGTCTGTTTGGTTGCCCGTCCGGCCCTTCATTCATTGCGAGTGTCCTAAATTAAATATCTCTTGATGATGATGATGATGATGATGATGATGATGATGATGATAGTTGTACAAATTCTCAATCACCCGGAAGTTTTTCCACAACGTCAACTTCAAAGCACTGTTCGCTGAAGCGGGCAAGCGCACGGCCGTTTGCTTCTGGCAACTCCAGGAGCGTCGGCGTCGCGGTGGCGACTGTACGTTGCGACGCTGGCGCCGACGCAGCGACGCCAGGCGGCCCGATGACGCAACGCTCGTCTAACCTCCGATGCCGCCCAGTAATTTATTCAAGGCGAATAGGACGAAATAGGAGCACCGCGCGACTAGGACCCCGAGTGGGTGACATCGCCCTTGGGGGCCCCGGGAATTGAGAGCAGATTTCGGTTCGATCTGCGCTCGATTACACCGTTATATTGTGGTTTATGGGTAATTTGGAGCTTCCGCTGCCCTTTCTCTGGCTTGTTCCAAGGTGTGTCGTTATTCGGGTTTACTTGCGGGCTCTGTACGTGTTCCGATAGTTGAAACGTGTTGCGAAATGCCGAGCAACATTTTTTTTTCTGCGAGGTCATAGTTTTTCTAGAATGTGTATGTGCACCCGGAAGTGACCCTTATGTTTCTTGAAGACATTTCTTATGTTTCCTTGTGAGTAGAATATGACCATTTGGGGACTTGAAAAGGTAATGATCAATACACTCAGCAAGTATTTCCTCTTACACAATGTTTCTAAAAACATCAGTTACAAAATGTTCGTATTTTAATAGATTTGCTTGAAATGTATCGTAAATATCGACTCTTCATTTTGTATTCGAGCAGTTCTTTCGAGTTACAGGCAATGTCGAAAGTGGCAACATTAGTTTGAAGTTCCTAATATTTCGCAGCAAATATTCCTGTGAACGTTACTTGTCAAGTTTTGTCGTACGTTGAATATCAATAGCTAATAATACGAAACAATATCAGTATCGTGCTATTTTTTATTAATTATAAATTTCAGATAAAATATACATATACCACTATTCCATTTTCTTCCTCACACCATTGTTTTTGTTTACATTAAAACACAAACGGTCACGCCTCACTGGTTGGCATTTGTACCGAAGCGTTGTGTTTGTACAGTTTTATATTATTACCATTTTCCGAGTCTGTCCCATTCACAATCCCCAAACGAGCTATATGTTGAAGTCCCGAGCTATGACGCATGGCACTCATAGCCACACTTCGTTATTCGGCCACTCCGTTTCTGCCCATTTTCTTTTACCTCTTCAACCACCAATCACGAAGAAAGGAATACCTGCACTCACGATATGAATAAATGATTCAATCCAGTTCAGCTGTTACACTTCGTTCATTCTTCAGTAAATAAAGTACATACAATATTGTTATTTCTGAATGATCTCAGCACCTTATGTCAGTCTTAGCATTTTATGTCCGAGATCAGTTTCTCTTACGTCAATCCAGCCCATCAGATACCAAGTATCTAAGACTTGGTGTAAGATAAATTAAATTTTTTTTGTTTTGTACTGAATGCTAAAATATAATTTTTCCATGAATAATTTCTATGAAAGTGATCACATTTGGAAATGTCATCGCTTTCTTCTTTTTAAATATAATCGAATTAAAATTATCTTCACGGCAACTCAAAATCCTTCACGTCTATTTTACACGAAAATACGCAATTCATTTCTTGGTATTCATAAATCAAAGGCATGCCGCCGAAACACAAGGCGCACGTGTAAGGGACGCACGATATATTACAGTCCATAATGGCTCCATCAGTGTGTCTCCGTGCTTATTGGACACGCCGGCATGAATAGTGGAATAGTCGCCAGTGGGGCAATCGCAGCGCGGTAATTTATAACGCGCGGCCGGGTTAGAGGGCGCGGCGCCGCGCCGCTTGGCTTTCAATTGCGATAAGAAGGCGCTGTAATTGAAACGACGCCTGGGCTTCCGCGCTCGGCCTCGCGACGGCCTCCGCGACGGCGCCGACGCCGCCGACGCCGAGGGCGACGCGCCATTTTACGTGATTTGTGAGGAGACGAAGCCAGAAACGGTGAGCCAGGTTTGCTTGTCGTTGGACGGTGACGGTTGACCCTTCAATCGCATTTTTACTGTCGACTACATACGATTCAAATAAGAGACGATTCGTGAAGATGCGCGTGTGTCAAGAAGGCTTAGTTTCCGTCGTGGGCTGTCGAATATTGGTGCAGAGTTCTGTAACGATGATGCTGATGATGACCGCAATAAAGATTCCTATGTCGGTGATGATGTGAAAGATAGATAAGAATGATGAACGGGTTATCCAAGGTGAATGTGGTATCATGTAACAGAGGGTTCATTTTCATGTAGCATATCTGATCCATCTTTTAGACCTCTGCTTGTTCGTGGCGTCTTTGATTCGTTGTAACCATGCGTATTCAGATTACCTTATTTTCTTCTATTGATAAGGGTTTATTCGAGTGTCTATAACAGTGATCTACAAAACAACAACAGTAACAATAATAATACAAATAATATTAATTTATTTTATTCATTTTCACATACCAAGTTAACAAATGCAGATGATGCACCCGAATGGGCAAATGCTTACGTTGGGGCGCAGTTTGAGACAGCTTATAACCAATTCAACCAAATGAAACACTGAGGTTGGACAATAGACAACATACAGACAATTAATATGCAACGAAAATTTTGCAATATAGTAACATAAAACTCGTATAGAAAGTTATGCAGGACATTTGTTAGAAAGAAAATATGAACTTGCGCGAAATGAATAACGGTTACATAAATTTATTGAAAGATACAAAAGATGAGAATCTGTATTTTATTTAAATGCTTTAAACAAGAAATTTAATCGTTTTCAATAACTGACAATGTATATTTTAGTATATTTCTTAAATTGAATACTTAACTAACTTCAGAGCTACAAGCAATTATGGAATTACATAGTCTAGGGGCAGAACTCATGAAATATTTATAATCTAATAATAACTGGTGTTACATTTCATATAAAATTGTGCAGTTATATCTTCTTGAACAGTATTCATCAATCGCTACTTACTACCTATTGTTAAATATTTCTTGTACATTTTCATGCAATCTACCTGTCTTTATTTTGATAGTATCAATTCTAGTAACTGGAAGTGCAACCGATATTAATGCGTGAAAATAAGCATAAAAAATAAAACGTTCTAAAAATGTGGCTTTCAATTCCAATATGGAGGTGCACTAATTGAAACAACGTTCGGGTTTCCTTGCTTCAAAGGCTTCGAAATCAAGTTTTCATTTGCTTATGCATATGTAACATCTACGACAAATACATTTATAAAACCTTAGCTAAAAAACCAGTCTTTCTAGACGATCTTCCGGCTGTCTAAATAAAGTTGGAAACATTATTACTATGAATACTTTACATTATTCAAGATGGTTCCTTTATCACAATATTTTGAAACATTTTTTTTTTTTCATTATTCATTTCGCATTCGTTCTGAAGTTAACTGAAAGAAGCATGAGACAAAATTGTGTTGGCTGCTCGTGGCTGTGCTTTGAAGGCTGTCATCGCGATTCACAACGAAGGAACGAAGGAGCGAAGGTACGCACGAGATGCCAAAGCCTCACGCAGCCATCACGCCGCCATCCGCTCCGACTGAACGCGCGCCAACCTTAAGGCGAGGACCGTGCCAGCAAATTGATGCGATTGGTTTAGATTTAGATTTATTCACTCAAAAAAAAACAGTAAAAACTGTGTGTGACGTAGGGGAGGGAAAATTATCTGCGCACGTTTTCTTGAGTTCCAGAATCCCTTTCTGTCGTGTTAACTATAAATAGTTGAAAAATGTGTAAAAGTTTAACATAAATAAATAAAACTAAATTTTAAAAATCGCAAGATTATCAATATTTGAAAAAATAGTCAATTTGGTTTCCGAGTTATAGAAACGCATCTGTACACGAATTGCAAGTATGATTTTTCTGCATTGCTAACAAAATAGCAACTTGCCCTTACCCTCTACTCTTACCATTACAAGCAAAAAGAGAGTTCAACAAAGCGTGCGCATAGTGAAGCTACATTTACGTCCAGTTCACGGACGAAAATGAGATTACGCGCACAACTGTTACCTGTTCATTGTGTAGCAGCTCAGGCTGTGCTATCGCTGTGCAATACATTCTCAGTACTACTTGAAAATTTGACACAGTAATGCGCATAGCTTATGCGTGTGCAATATACTAAATTAAGAAGTTATTTGAATTTTTCACACAACAACGAATAACGACGGCTACATAATTTATTTGTTGAAAACAAGAGTACAAATCTGTATGCGTTTACACCATCAGGGCCGCAAGTCTGTCTCTCACCCTCTCTGTCTCTCACCCTCTCTGTCTCTCCCCTCTCTGTCTCTCACCCTCTCTGTCTCTCTCACCCTCTCTGTCTCTCACCTCTCTGTCTACTCATCGTCTCTCACCTTCTGTCCTCTCCCTCTCTGTCTCTCAGCCTCTCTGTCCTCTCAAGCTCTCTGTCTCTCAGCCTCTCTGTCTCTCAGCCTCTGCTCTCTCAGCACTCTCTGTCTCTATCGCGTCTCTCATGCAGACTTCTGTCTCTCAGCACTCTCTGTCTCTCAGCCTCTCTTCTTCTCAGCCTCTCTGTCTCTCAGCCTCTCTGTCTCTCAGCCTCTCTCTGTCTGTCACCGTGAATCCTGATGACGGTTAATTCTTATTTTCTCCTTCTATCTTTTGCATTTCAATCTGTAGAAATTTTTAATTTTACATGCTTTATCAGCGTTACGTGCTATTCTGAAAATGTTCTTTTTAATCACTTTAATCTTTTTAATACCAATTTTAAATGTTACGTGCTTTTATTGTACTGAAAGGTGCCTTTCTATGAAGTGATTATCAGTTCATTGTTTATGATGAAGCTATCGGAGAAATCTCAAAAGGTGATATTTTGTTTGATTAAAGAGTTATTGTAGTGGACCTTTCAGAAGGTCGCATCACAAAGTACGTAATTTACAGATAAATTATTGAGAAATAACTAAATATGCATCATTTTATTGTATTTATTGTTCTATGAAACAATATTTAAAAAGTTATTCTCTCAATTGTGTTGTCTATTAAGATTGCTAATAATTGCGTGATAGTTCATTGCCCAATTTTGCTTTGATGCACGTTGTAACAATTTACATGTTACATGAGAGCTAAGCTACTGAAACTAATGCAACTTTGATGTTGTAGTATCGTGCCTAAAATGAAAAATATGTAAACCGTATGCCAAAAAATCAGTCAGTTTTACATGTAAATTGCAGATACTGAAAATAAAACTTAGAAATATTCACTAACTACGAGTATTCATGTAACAGGGGAATGAAAGGTAGTACGGTTTAATTGAATGTAGAGGTCTTGTTAAATATAACGACATTTTAATGGTTATAAAAGAGCAATATACCTTATGGACAATAATTAATAACAGAGAACCAACGTGTTAGTTTACTAAACTTTGTAATTGAAAAAATATTATGTATTTTAATCAGTGATTTTAAAAGCGAAATACGTCCACTTTTTCGAAAAAAGAGTTTAGATACATTTTCTTTGGTATTTCTCTCACATAATTATATATTTATTGTATGTTTATTTGATTTCATAAGTCCAAAAAAAAAGAAATATTTTTTTAATATGTCATAATTATTTTATAAAGGAAATAAGTCGAAGGTTTAAAAACGGTTCTGTACATCACAGAAATGCAGATTTGAAGTTAAAGAGTAGTGCAAACAATCAATAAAGACTTGTTCTGCTACGTTTATGTGAAACATAAATGTTCCATATGCCAACTGAGGATGATTAAATCTTTTTTTTCTCAGTACTATAGAGAAAGGACTTATTTCCCTATTTAATTTAATGAATTGGTGATTTGTTTTTGTGGTCTGTTGGTTATAAGCACGGAATGAGCTAAGCAATACGATGGTGGAATTGGTGTTAAAATATGTTATTGGATATCAATCAGTTAAATACATCAGTCAAAATGCGAATCACCAGCTCCAATAATTCTGTAGTACACTATTTAACTTCCATTTCGTATCGCTGAAATCATTTTTGTAACTGGAGGTATTGATATCCACTGATTCTCCTACGTTTGCATTACAAAAGGAAAACAATGACAGGAAATTGTTACGTCTACAGTTCAATTTAATATAGTCATCTTAAACAACAGAGTCAACATTTGTATGTACGGTATACCTCCCTTTTGACTATAGAATGAAGAAAGCACCTCAAACCTCAAAACCTCATTTCAGTATAGTTTAAAGAATAGTACACTAATAAAAAACTCTATGAATATTCTTGTCAAACTTTGTATTTTTTATCACAAACACATAACGAGAACGAAAAAAAAGTGAAATATATTGTTAAATACGTCCTTCCCGAAACACACGAACCTCCGCGAAGACAGGAAAAGGGTCTCTCTTACTTTCGAGTGTTGCGCTCGCAGCTGCCAGAAATAAAAGCTCGCAGCCCCCGTCGACCTGCGCTATCTGCTCCCAAACCGGTTACACGCAAGCAAGGCGCGTTGCCCCGGTGCGGCGCGGCGCGGCGTGCGATTGTATCCTGTAATCGGTCAAAGCGAGAGATTGGAACGGCCTCGTTAATACTACAATCGAGGGCGAGCGATGACCTGCCGCGCACCGGGATCAGTGTTTTGTACAGACTCGCATGGATACACTGACTCGAGACCGAGCATCAACTAATGCCACTGCAGGGTCTCTGATCAGGAGGATCTACGTTTCGAGTTCTCACGCTGGCAGGTTTTTCGAATCTAGCTATATAGTGTCGGTCTTTTTCAGCTGTTGTCTGGAGGGGAATTCTGACGGTCGGCCGCTCTGATCGGAAGTTTTCCGTGGTTTCTCCGATCGATACCAGGCAAATGCCGGAGCAGTACCTTAAGAAACGGGCCACGGATTGCGCGTGATCCATCCTTATTGTTTCTTTGCCTATCCTCTCCACTTAGTTACACTTGCTCTACCAAATACGTCGGCAGACCTGTCGAGAGCTTGTCCCGGCTAGGGCGGTGCCCAGCTTGTGAGAGATACCTGGATGCGGAAAATCCCGCTAGCCAATGTACAGGTCGGCGACCGATCTCACCATCCAACGGGAGAAGATCGCCACCACCTGCCATGAAAAATGAAGATGCGCTACACTTACGAAACTAATGACCATATCAGTTGGAGCGTTCGAAAGCACGAAATAATCAATAAACCAATCAAACAGTGACACCTGGGGCAACAAAAGTATGGCTTAATA